TCTCTGTCACTATTATATACCAGAGCTCTACATAGTACACATAATATAGCAGCTAAGTCAGCTTTCCTGGCATGCATTACCATAAGATACCCTGACAAAGAGCTGCTAGGGATAATAACTCTGTGCCAACAGGAGGATTGCAAACCCCAGATGTTCCATGTGAGGCAAAACACTAGAAGCCCATCATCAATTCACTTCTCACACAAACTGGTTTAGCTTCCAAGTCAATCCTTATCCTTGTAACTTTTCATACATAGCTAGACATTCCATAGGGAAAGCCCAGTTTCTAAAATACTGAAATGTGTAATGGTGTTTTCTCATGCAATTAATGAAAATGGTTTTTTATATGTGTCAGTGATTATATTTAACAAGCAATCCTTCAACAAGTAAACAATCCTTCAGCAAAGCATCAATGAGGTTTTAGAGCTGAGACCTAAAATTGCTCAGACACAGCAACAAGCACAGGAGTAGAAGGAGAACCCTCCCAGTTTCTCTCTTCCCTCTGGTATTTTGGTTTAGAAACCCTACAGCCCACTGGATTTCAAGCAGGTTGTTATTTAAAGCCATCAAAGCTAAATGCCATGTGTGGTGAATGGAACCCCAAGCACACTGGACACCTCCAGGAAGCCTGCTGTGGCTTTTTAGATTCTATCTGGTCCCTCAGCTGCCTGGCAAGCTCCAGGCAAAACGTGGCCAAGGTGTCCTCCCAGGCACCAGAGTTTTGTTTAACCTGAGGTGTACTTGACTCACATCAGCCCCAGTGCCTTTACTCTCCTCTCTTCCCTGGCCATCCTCCCACTTAGTCAAGCTGCAGCAGCATCAGAGCAAGGGTCTAAGTGATGAATGGTCTTTAAACTACCCAAATCTGATCAGATCCATGTGGCCACTTGTGCTATAAGCCAAAGCCTTTTGGGCACATGCTCTCTTGCACCTGTCCCATAATTCACAGAATGTTCTTCCCCTCTGAAAAAAAAACCGGGAAAGTGAGGAAACATCATAGCACCCATGTGGTTCCAGGAAAAAGTCTACACTTTTCAGCATTTACAATTCTTTTCAGCATTTACAATTCAACAGACCCATGATAAAGTCATACACAGAATTAACAGAATCAAGCTGGTTTTCAGAGGAGCAAAACCAAAAGTTTGTTACCAGTTATGTCTTGCAGGTATGACACATCTATAATAAACCATAGCATTTTTTAACATAAGATTTTCTTCCACGCCTTAAATGTTTGCTGGCATTTCAAGATGATGCCAAAAATTTTGCCTGTGAGATTCACAGGGTGATAGAGGGCAAAACTGTCTTCACAGGATGAATTTAGCAGGAGGAAACTTCAAAGAAAAACTGACTGATGTGGCAAATACATGAAAAGCTCAAGAACAAAACATACTCTCAATTGTGGGGAAGTTAGGATTTGGATCTGAACACTTCAGACCTAAGTAAATACCAACAAGCCAAATTAGCACAGGAAAACAACAGCTAAGGTTTGCTTCTAGTGCAAATTAAAGGCTCTTCTTTAGGTTTTTTTTTTCTGAAATATGACTTATAGGTGCTCCATTTGCAAGCCATATCTTAATTGCATTACTCTGATGTTCTGGCTTTAATGCATATTTTTAAACATGAAGGTGACAACCAAAAGGCATTGCTGTAAATTTTTTATTTAAATTATTGTTTTGCAACCATTTCTTTAATCATTTTATTTAAAATAGACATTCAAATGAAGAGTCCTGAAAGATCACTTTGTTCAGAAGGACAATATCAACACTGCAAAAATATCTGCAATATAATTACATTGTCAATGTATTTTAAATTTTGCAGGTAATTGCAGTTTATCTTCACAGAAAAATAACCTAGATAAAAATAATTGTCAGATATAATCAGAGAATCTACTTAAGTATCTTGCTCAAATGTGGTAAATGCTTGTTTAGGGCTTGGTTTAGTGCTTGTGAAACACCAAGGAAGCGAAGCAAGATCCTTGCACTGGATAAGCATTCCAGCTTTTATCCTCCAGTTCACCAGAGACTGGTTGTTTCTATTTCTGGGACTTTCCTGCATAAACTGCTACTTATATTGGATGTGTAGCACTTTAGTGACATCCACAAATTATGTATCCTTTTCCCTTTGTACAGACTCCCAGCTTTGTGATGCAGGACAAGGCTTTTGTCTGGTTTGGGATCAATCACTGAGACTCTTTTGCTATAAAGCGATTGGAATTATTCATTAATCTTCCAGACCAGTAGGTTTGTCTTTCATGAAGTAAAATTGATTTCCTTATCTGAGCTTGTGAAGAAGTGGGATGTGCACCTTTCTTGATTTATAGCTCAGGATGGACAGTAATGGAGAAGCTTTGAGAGCAGCAGCTTTTGGGACCCCAGAACTGGCAGGTCTTAGTGCAACAGCCTGATATTTACTCATGGGTGGGCTGCATATTGCACTAGATAGCACTATGAAAAGAGGATATTTAAATGTGGAGAGAATAAATCCTTGGGGAGCACTAGCTTTTCTACAGATTTGCTTTATTCATTCTCTTCTGGAGAGCTTCACGACAGTTTATAGTGCCCAACAAATCTCTTTGGTTGCAAGAGGGGCAGATTTATTTTACCATGTTTGAATCACCTGGGAGAAATAGAAGCAACTTTGAGCTGAATTACTGAGTAATTGACAGCTTCTTTTTCAAGGACCAGCAGACCCAGGAATAGAAAGCATTTCCATTAGAATCTTGCCTCTTTTCTGGCCAGATGGTAGCAAGGAGCATGGGAAATCTGATTAATATCCTGTGGTGGATTTTAGCAGCTCCCTGGTACTGGCCTTTCAAACACTCCAGGCCTTTTGAGAGTCTTCTGTTCGTAATATCAATACAGTTATACCTCAATCCCTTTGGGGCACTACAAAAAGGGGTCAAATCATGCTTCTTCTCTTTGATTTCACTGAAGATCTGTGGCATTTTCCTATCTAGAAGCTTACATTTCAGGAGCTTTGTTGTTTCTCATTCCTTTCCAATGTAGTCTGGGAATGACTATGCAGTCCTTACACAGCCACAAACACAGATTCTTGGATCAAAGCCTGAAGAAGAGGGTCTGTTACTTTGGATTTAGACTTTAACCTTTTATCCACAATCTACTTTGCAGTAAAAATGCAAATAATTTAAGCCTAGGGTATAATTATAGTTCCAGACCTAGACACCAGTTCCCTATGGCTGCTGAGTAATTTCTTATTTTGTCCATTTTTCTTTCCACTGAGAAGATACTAAAAGTACTGCATTAATGTGCTGTGGACAGAAAAGAAACATAGATAAATCAGCTTTGTATACCACAGTTATTCCCCGGTCTGCAAAATAATTACTTTGAAAGTCATTTTTCTTACGGTTTGCTCCTCCATTCAGAACTGCCTGCATTAATAACAAGGCTTTGCATCTCAATATTACTATAGCAGAGCATAATCTCTGCTACAGTAAAGTTTACCAGTCAGTGTCTGTGTAAAGATCTTTTTGCAGGTTTCCTCCACATGGTTAGTTAGAGGAAGCTGTAGGGAGTGTAATTGCACTGGTATTTCACCAATAAACAGAGCAGGGAATATGTGCCACTAATGACAAAGTATCAACCCCCCCCCCCATAAGAGAAAAACTTAACACAGACCTTTGATGGTTCTAAATTCTATTCCTCATTTAAATTACATTGTCCTTTATCCCTTACAAACACTAGTGATTACAGTGAGAGAAATTCCACAGAGGTGTTACCCAGCAGGTGGTGTCACAGGCTTTGAGTGTTCCCAGCAGCTCGAATAAATATCTGAAATGTAAGTCAGACACTGGAAAACTAAAAGCTTTAAAAGTGGGTTCTAACACCACTTGGAATCACAGCACTGGGATCTCTGACCCACAGACATGGCAATTTGGGATCTCCTGACACAGTGGTTTTGTAATTTCTGGTAGCATCAGCAGGATTTAGCTAAGCATGCAGGGAAGGAGTCTGAAATAAATACCCTCTGTGGTCTACACAGCTAGGATATGAAGGTCACCTCAGGGAAAAAAAAAATCAATGTATGCCAAGGACAAAAGGCCAACACACAATATAACATATTATTATCATCCCAACCCACAGTGCTGTACACAGTTTACTGTAAACAAATGCTCAGAGAAACAAGAGAGATGGAGTGAAATCCCTCTTATCACAGTTGTTTGGAAAGAAAAGCAGCTGGGAACAACTGCATTCCACCAGGGAGAAATCTCAGTCTCCTATGAAATGCCTGACAACTGAGGAGTCAGACCAGGGCACAGGAGGAGAGCCATAAATAGATTTAACTTTTTACAGTCCATATTTACCTATCTCTTTGATAATTGTTATTTATCTCAATCTTCTTATTATCACAAAATGTACTATGTGTAGTTTTTAAAGTTATAAGCTGGTGATGTGCTAGACGGAGTTGGAAGGATTTGCTAAAACTCCAGTCAATGAACAAGACCTGAAAAGCATGAGGTTATAATCTGGATTATGTTTACCTTCATTTACCACATTTTAACTGATTTTTAAGTTGTGGTAGGACTGGCTGCAGACTTGGTCCCTGCAGGACACACAAGGTACACAGCACATGAGGCGTGAACTCATTCAGCTCTGCAGACAGAGAAAGGCTGAAGCCACTTCAAAAGGCATTGCCCAAATTCCTCTGGGGGAGAATTGCTTGGCTAATGAACCACACTAAGATTTCAGAGTGCTAACTGCTTAGTCTCAAAAAATCATCATTTGGTGAAGATCAGGATGAGTGAGAAGGGTGTTTTTGGCACAACTTCTGAACAAAAGAACAGATCAGTTGGGAAGATATGACTTTGGTACTTCCCATTTGCTTTCTCAGTCTAACGAAATCAAGAAAAAATGAGGTATTAAATATAATTTCTATGGGGCTAAAGTGGAAGGTCTTTATTGTCCAATGCCAGCCTTGAAAGAGAAGGGAAATCCAACTAAGAGTGCAAGGTACATTTCTGCACAGAAAAAATCAATGAGCTATGGCAGTTGTCTGAAAACTTTATTAGTTCAATGAGTCACATTTATATAGACACTAATAATTATAATGTAAATAAGGCAGTCAGAGTAATGTAAAATAGCCCATCATATAATACTGAGTGTGTCAATGTTATTACCACAGTGTTACAATTACTGAAGTTTAATAGAGAAATAAAAGACACACACAGAAAGTAATTGAGATAAAAGAGGACAGTAAATTGGTATAGTACTGCAGAGAGTGATGAGCCACAGTTAATTTCAGCAATTACAAACCTACAGAGCAAGTTCTACTTCTCTTATCCCAATGAATGATTGTGTTAAAACAAATAGTCCACACTCCTAATGGAATTCCCCTACTTCATAAAACTAGGTTTGTTAAACATCCCACCTGGATTTTCTGCAATGCTGTGCTGCCTTGTACTTGAGTGTTTCTTCTGCAGCATTATTTGAAGAGTGGGAAATTCCTTGAAGTGCTGTAGACTGTCTCTGCACTTTGAAGTGTCTGTCATGAGTGTGGCAGACATGCCATCAGCCTGCCTCAAAGCTAAGGACCTCCACAACTTTTTACAATAAATAAACCAGTTCTTTTTTGTGTTCCCCTTACTCTAAAAATACCTCTCCTTTACCATCCCTGAAGTTAGCTCATGTGTTCCTATCCTTTTGAGTAACTTCTTCAAAGGGAGGTAAAAAATTGATTGGCTGTCAAAACAGAATTTAAAAAGAAGAAAAGAAAAAAAAAAGGAGAAAATAATCCAGTAAAATACAGCAGTGTTCAAACTTCTACATGTCAAGGAGAAAAGATAGGACAGATGTTTTGTATAACCAAAATAATTGTCATTGTAAGGAACAAGTCAAATCCAGAGAAATACTAAAACTGTAGCAAAAAATCCAGCCTGGTGGCACCTTGGCATGGTTTACATCAGACATTTCCTGGAGAATTTCTGTTGGAGAAGGACAGGGAGGGGCTCTGTGTCTAAGGAACAGAGGGCTACCTGATCCAGTTGGCTTTGGAAGTCAGCTGGATGAGATTTTATGATTAATCAGAAAATGCATAAAGTGTTGATATGGTAGGATACTGAGCAAAACTTTTGCTGAGCTGCTCCTTTGCTAAGCTCACATCCTGGGAGCTCTCCCACTTGTGTCTGTGTCTGTGACTTGTCTAACAGCCCCATAAAAACGCTCTGACCTTATTACACTACTGCTTTGTGATTAGTTACCTGCCCTTAAAATAGTACGAAAAATTAGGGTGACCTAATTTTCCACACGGCCATAACATCTAGCAATTAATTCTTCTATTCCCAAAACAACATTTCCTCCTGCTAGTTGCACAGGTGCTCCCTCTGTGGCTTCTTTTTCACACCATCTTCCTTAACCGCAGAGGACTGCAGAGGATCTCAGCCTGACTGCTCCAAGGAGCAGCAAAAAGTCTGAAAAGAAAGCATGAGATTCAGTGTCTCAGCTGGGAGCCAAGGGAAAAATAAATATGCAGGTATCCTGAGATGCTTCAATGCTTTTGATGAATGAAATTGTGCTGTGAATGAAATGCTTTCAAAGAGAGAAGGAAATAATTTTTTAAATGCTTGCAAGTTCAATTTAGTAATTAATGCTTTGCATAGATATTACTAAGGGAACAGTTAAAGATGGGTGAGACCAAAAATACCTGTTCTAAATTTGAATTTTCACAAGCAATAGGAAGCACAATTAAAAAGGATTATGTGCAAGTGATAACAGCTTGAGAATTCATTACAGTAGAACCTCAAAATCTTTTTATTTGAAGAACCTCTTCAGTATTGCATTTAATGACTTTTGCAGCATTCTTAGGATTTACAGTTTGAAACCTTTTGACTCTGGGAAAGATCAAAGTCTTGTGCCTGTTTAACAGTATCACCTATGAGTCTGAATAGAAAGAAAAAGTATGTGAAGCTGGGAGAGGGAATTACTGCTGAGACATAGCTATGCATTTTCCTGCCACTGTAGGAATGCACAGATTATCAGTCTGGGTCACTTTGTCTCTGGAAGAAATTCAAGAATTCACCTAGACACCTTGTTTTTCCAGCTGCTTCTCTTCAAAGGTATCCAAGTGAGTTCTGCCAGCATAAATCTTTCCACGAAAGAGCGGCATCTGCATCCTGACCCATAATACTCACAGGCTTTTACAGGCTGCTTCATGGAGATGAGGAGTCCTGTCTGATGAGGTGAAGAAGCAGTGTCAGTTGTTGTAGGGCTCCTCTAAAACTTGTGGCCAGGATGAGATATTTCAGGAGCACCAGAAGAACTCCTTGCTCTCATGAGAGGTGTCTTTATGTTTCTCTGTGTCAGCTTAACCAGAATGTGATAGCACCAGCTGCCACTGAGAAAGCCAGATCTGTCATATGAAAAACGATTAAGCACTTCTTCAAAAGCGTGCTTATATCTCTTTTGATACAGACCAATTCCTAGGATTTAATAGAGTAAAATAAAAAGTTGAAATATACTTCATATTAAAGCAGAGTCAAAATTTTAAAAAGGCATTAAAGTTTCTTAAATGAGCTATTTCAAGCTTGAGAGCACTTTCCAAATTGCATTTCAGATACTGAAAATCTAAATTTTTTTTCACTCTGGTTTATATTTAAAAGGGAGATAGAAACCTTGAAATGTTTCATATGATGGAAATCCTTTTTCCCCACTAGGTATATTTTATCTTTTATTCCTCCCCCTGCCCCACCCCACTCCAAAAAACACCAAAAAGTATAAAAGGAATCCATGATGTTGGTCACTGAAGTGTTCATACAAAAATTAAAAGGAACTTCACCTTTTTATAATATAACTATGCATGAATTCCCTTTAAAGTCTGACCCAGTATCTGCTGACTTCAAAGAACAGACCTTTTTTGGATGAGACTAGTCACTGAAGAGTTTGGATGATATTAGTCACTGAAATGCAGATTCTGTGTTACCAGACTCTCTGCCTATATTATGAATCTTAGGTGAAGACGCAATTATTAGTTTGAGCCCACAACAAGCTTTACAAATTACCAAAGTATTATGAAGTTATAGTGGTATAGTATTTCTTAGGTGTTCAAATCTCTTCAAAATTCTCTCTCTGTTATTATGAATTATATATAAAAATATTGTTAGTTCATAATCAGGCTGCAAAATTTATGCATGAAAGAGCATTTTTTTTTTTTGAGGAACCTTACACTAAGTTAAAAAAAAAACGAAATAAGAAAAATCTGTTTACTCACAAAATGAATGCATCAAACCTTCAGATTTAAAAGCAAATGTCATAAATGCAGAAACTTACAACACTTGCATAGACAAGAAATTTCCTCTAATCTACTGCCAGTTTTATCAGTGTTATGTTAAATGATCCTTTCCTGCATTTGCTTCATTGTGTCCTAATAGCATTTGTCTTTAATTCTGAATCAAAATTATGTTAGCATGACAAACACTAGAAGAGAATTCTGCTGGGAATTATGTATGAGGAACTTGGCAGAGCAGCTTTTAACAATACCTAATCCTGGAACCTTAGCCATCCATGACCTTCATTAACCAGAGAATCATCCCCAATTACTAAAAATGATTAAGCGCTGAATTTTACCTAAAAGCATGAAAAACAAAAGAAAACAAACACCAAAACTAAAGAAAAGCAGGGGAGAAAAGGAGAGAGGAAATTTATAGGGGAGAAAACACCCGTGCACTGTGGGACTGTGTCTTGACAGAGGGGTGGCTCTGCTGGAGCACCGAGTCAGAGCTGCCTGATGCTGCAGTCCTGCTGGCCCGTGCTTCCCTCAGGATGCTGGACAGGATGTGCACAGCTGCAATTCCCAAGCACGCCCTCCCCCTCTCCTTTCAGAGGAGACTCAGAACAGATGAGGCTGGGGCTGTGTTTTCCTTGCCTGTGACAGATTTGCACAGTGTCATAAGCTTCTGTGCTTGGTTGTTTTCCTTCCATCAAAAGAAAGATGTTGCAGAACTGTTTAGAGTACAAATGAATCCCTACCCCATATGTTGCTATTTATATTTATATCCACTTAGGACACCCAGCAGACCTGGTTATGGAGCAGGTCCTCATTGTTTCCAGCTCCTCTTCTGCTCATAAACATTAAGTGCAAACAACTGGATATGGCCACGTCTGCACTTAAACTGCTTATTGTAATTTCACATCAGCTCCTATTCCATACCAATTTTCTAGGCAACATATTACAGTATCTGCTCATGTACTTTGTGCAGACTGTGTAGGAAGCAGCTTAATCTAAAACATCTGCGGCAAGATGAGATGATCACATAAACATAATTTCTTGCAGAGGTTCTGTCTATAAACTGCAATGAAGTATGTTTCCACTGCATCAGCACAATCCTACCTTTGCATTTACCTTTTATCATCCATATGGAGAACAAAGGAAAATAAAATACAAGAGGAAAAGTCAAATTCCCAGGCACATAAACACCATGTTCAGACAGAAACTGACAAAGCTCTGAAAATTATGTCCCTAATCTGAAAGCTGTTCAATAAACTACATTAATTACCACTGCTGAGTATCTGTTTATGTGCCTAAATTCCCAGTAAGCCATATGGAAAATTACTTTCTAATGTGGAATCACCAAAGCTTTTTGATAGCAAAATCTCCACACACACACTAAACTGTTGCAGAGTAAGTCAATAATCAGTGAGCTGCATTTTCAGAGCCTAATGGATTCAATAGACACCTAAGGGATATCTCAGCTTCAGCAGCAGCATTGTGCTCCATCACATTACCCTGCAATAGAAACAACTCACAACACAGTCTCCTAAAAGAGGGTCTAAATTACCCTTCTAGCTGAGATTTACCCTTCAAGGTCGGAATCCATACCCAAGCAATTTCTGTTCAGTCCTGCCCTTCAGGCACTTTACCAAGAGATAGGAAAGGTGCTCCATATCAGGCATGTTTCAGCTCTGAAGGTACCTACATGCAGTTTCATCTGCACATAAAATACAGTACAGAAGCAGCTTGCCATCAACACACAAATAACCTCTGTCAGCAAACATGATAATTACCAAAATTTGTGTTCCAAGACTTCCCATGTTAGTTCCTTAAAAAGCTAAGCACATGAGCTGTTTTCTCATTACATCATTTTGAATATGAGAATGAATGCAAGTTCCAACAACAGTTTCAGGCACTGGAGAAGGGGGTATAATAAAGATTCACCTAATAGCTGAAAAATCTCACAAACAAAAGAAACCCTTTCACACAAGAAAGTGCTCTCTGAATGGAATATCTGCTAAACACTCAATGCATGCCCCTGGAAGACAGTGGAGCATTTAGATCCACTCTTAGCTTGTAAAATTTTATAAATAAAAATCTATTCAATTCTTGGGATTTGTAGCATTCTATTTGATCCTTTCAGTCCTGAGTGTTCTTCACCATCCTCACTGGAACATAAGCAGAAGAGTTATATACTTGTATTTCTAAATGCAGATGAGTACTTTTCCCTTTATTAGGATCCACCAAATTGGATTCAATAAGTAAACTACTCTTAACTCCAAAGTAACTATCATCTTGTAAGTCAGACTATCAGAGACTGGTGCAAATGCAAACATGTCAAATGGATAAGCAATCCATTGGCTTCTGTAATTTTTAAACAATATAAATTCTTTTTTGGGGGGCAATATCATAATTCCACGAAGACTATAGGAAGTAAACTATGCTGGCTTCAGCAGCTGAAGTAGCAAAGGGAGTAAGATAGAGAGGAAGCAAACTTGAGGGAAGAAGGTTCATTTCCAAACCTCAGAACTTGGTTCTATGCCCAAAATTAAACTGAGGACACAATACTGTCACCACTTGTCAATTCCCTTCTTCCAAATTTAGGAAGGCTGGGGTTAAAACCCATGGATGGTGGGAATGCCTGTGTTCCAGGTGGTTGTGCAGGAGGAGGAGCACTGCCCTGTGGTACTGGGCTCAGCCTCAGCTCCCAGGGAGATCAACACTCCTGTGCGTGGTGCCCGGGCAGAGCCGCCCTGGCAAGGAGGGGTTCCTGCACGCACAGGCACCAGCACGTCACACCACCACAGGCATAATCACTGCCTCTGCACTGGGGGAGAAAAATCTGTGAGAATAAAACCGAGGCCAAAAACTGCCTAGAGCCTAAACACTGGCAATGATTTCACTTTTCTATTTAGGATAGAAAGGAAGGTAGGAAGTCCTATTATGTGCAGGGAAGGAACAAAGTCCTTGAGGCTCATTGGTGAAGTCCATGAATTGAAAAGTATTAATTTAACACAAGGGTAGTAAGTGGAATGATGGCATCTCTTCAAATGAATTCATAAATTACAAGGTATTTTGCATTTTTAAGGGAACATTTTTGTTGTTTATAAAGAAGTTAAGAAAACCAGAAACCTCTGAGTAAGACATTGTAATTGGATTCACAGGTTATCACTGAAAGCTTGTGTTAAATGAAGAAAATAACAGCTACAAAGGTTTTGAGCCTAAACTGAAAACTATAGCAAAGCCAGTTTAGTTCTTGGCAACTCTTCTAAGGACACATTGACTGATCTCTGCCCACATGAAAGAAGAAACTATACTTAGTGCCTTCAATAAATTGAAGCTTTGGATATTCCAAGAAGGTTCAGAGAATATAGGAGAAATGTAGATTCTTAAAAAATGCCAGGTATTTCCTTCTGCACAATAACTGTGCTCCACACAGTGAATGCTGGTGGCTCACTGTATATGGAAGAGAAATCAGACTAGAAGAGCCCTTCTGGCCTTTAAATGGAGATATACCTCAACTACATTTTAGGGGACACAGGCATCTGGACAAAACAAGTTTTGCAAGAGTATTCTTTTGCATTATAGTTATATATTTAATAAGACCTCATACTTACCTTTACTGTAAATGAGTATCTGTATCAAAGTACCAGGCTGTTTCCCACCTGCTTTTTCTTCCTTTTTACTTCATATTTCTTTTCCTTCATATTCTTTTCTCCAATTGCTTGTCCTTTTCCACTATATTGTCCCCAGTGACATTCTTCCAGTCTTTACTTGCATATCACAGTTCATTTTGTTTCCTGTTTCTTTTCACCATCACCATGAAATAGATACCTATCATGAGGCATTTTCCTGCTCTCCTGCACTACTAAACTTATTTTATAGCTGAGAAATTGGCACAGGCAATAAATAATTTGCTGGTTTACTTGGGCACCTTTAAACTATGTCTCACTGCTAAAACCAGAGAAGAGATCTCCCGCCTTACTGGACAAAGCCCTAATTTGAATGTTTTTCTTCTCTTTTACAAAACTGAAAGAACTTTATTACTTTTAAATTATTGCTTTATAAATTTTAAATGTAGCATACTCCCACAGAAATAAACATCCCCCTTCTTCAGTGAGAGATCTGAAGAACGGCTTTGGGAGGCCTTTCTCTCGTTCCCCATGGCCAGGCAGAGCTGTCAGAGTCTCTGCCAGGGTTCAAGTCACTCAG